CATAGCAGTAAAAAAATAAAAATTCTAAAATTGATCAAAATGTGATTTAGAAAGATGTGCAATAATCAGACAAATGCTTTTTCGTTTCTCCTAAAAAACTATTTTTCACACGTGATGGACAATACCGTTCAAATTTCGAGTATTATTCACATTGAATTCCTCAATCTCAGAATTTAGGACATCCCATGGAATTTGCTTAGTAAATTGAGATAAAATAAAAAGTCAATTACTGTCCATGACTAATTGGGTATCATTTTTAGACTTAATAAAAATATACAAGAAAGCTATTGTTTTAAAAAATTAAAATAGTTCAAGGGAAATAAACAAGATTTTGCCAGAAAAAAAAAAAGTGATTGTCATATTGTCCATGGATCCTGAATAAAAGAAATCAAAACGAAATTGGAAAAGAAATTCGCCATAGAATTAAGAATCATAAAACAATATCATTTTCCCTTAGTGGGAGATCAGGAAAAAATTCCTAAAAATAAGCAACCCATTGTTTTGTTTCGTTTTTTTTACCTTGAAAACATTTGAAACTACAGAAAGAAGCAGATTTCCTTCTTAAAATTCTGTTTTCACTTTTCCAACCAAAAAGCTTCATGGAATTCAATTTTATTTTCACTATTTTTTTAATAAAATTTGTAAAAGTTTTTCTCTATGGAGCTGAAATATTTAAAATCTAGCAATATAAATTATATTGCAATTTTTATTTTTTAAATTTTATATATTGAAATAAATAATAATAGAAACCTTTTTTATTTTATTTTATTTTTTTTCTGTCTTTTCAAATTTTTCATTCATATAAAAATGCTTCTAAAATTTAACTAAATGAATGAAAATGTAATAATTCTTGTTTAAATTTTTTTTTTTTTTTTGCATTCTTGATGTAGAGTTATTTTCTAATCTAATTTCTTAGTGTCAAACAATGCCATTAAAATATTCCAATTTTTTTTTTTTTAAAACCTGTTCTTTTATTTTATTTTAGGAAGTTCATTTTCTGTCTTTTCAAATCGTGTTTTTACAACGAAAAAACATTCTTGATTTCATTCATATTTCTAAAAAACAATTCTGGTGTATTTCAGATAGAAACTATATACGTTTGATTGTCAAAAATTTCAAATTTTTAAAATTTTCTTAAATTTTAAGAATTTGAAAAAAAAATTCTGACACGTTAATTAAAAATTTAAAGTTAAATTGATTTCAAAGAAATTTTTTTACTTATAGCATAAAAAAATAATATTCCAATTTTTTTTGTTCGATCTTATTTTGATTGACGAGCCGATGACAGCTTACTTGACATAATTTTTTAAGTCTGAGTTTTTAAAAAATTATTCTATTTGAGTATGACACACACTAAATGGAAATACAATACATAAAATAAAATTATTTAGTAAATGAAAAAAAGAAAAAATAATTTAAAATTTAAAGTTTACACTTTTACAGCTGATCGGAAAAAATACAATCTGTTAATAAACGAAATGTTTTGAAAGGGACAAAACCCTTATTTAATCAATTTTGTAATCTAATTTCTTAAGTAAAAAATACAACATAAAAATTATTTTTAAAAAAAGTAGCGCAACAAATTTATTAAACAAATGCCATTAAAAATATTCCAATAATAAAAACGATAAAATGTTTTTTAATTATTTTTAAAAAGGAAAAATTCAATTAATTTATTTCAATTTTATTGATTCAAAAGCAATTAAAAGCTTTTCTAATTAAGTAATTCATAGTTTTATTGGATTCATTATTTTTCAAAAAAAAAAAAAAAAAAGTAGATTATATCCTCTTCGAAGACTTTCTTTTAACAAAAAAAAAATTCAGGCCAAAAAGTTTTTGGGCGAAATTTCATTAAATTAAGAATGTCATTTTAAAAAAATATCCCATTCATTTGTGAATAAGTCCTTAAAAAACTCAAACATATTTTATTTTTTACAATAATTCCAATATATAGTCGTTTAACCAAAATTTCGAACGTTTAGAAAATATTAAAAATTTCAAAAAATAATTCTAAATAATAACATTTTTGACGATAATACTTTATTTTCATTTAAGTTTGTGGCATTTTTCATTTACGCTAATGATTTCTTCCACTAATTGTTGATTAGATGTTGACAAAAAAAAAAAGTATCCTTAGAGAAATTTTCCCCCCCTCCTCTTTTAGAATGAAAGGAAAAAAAATGTGATCGATTATTTTTAAAGTACAATGATATAAAAAAAAGTATAAATATTTCTGAATCGCCATTTCTTTTTTAAAAGACGACTTTTTCGTACATCGTTTTTAATTAGAAAATTTGAAGACGAAGGCAACAAGAAAAAAAAAAAAAGGATCACCAACAAAACCCTTGAATATGAAGAGGACTAAACTCCCGCAATAATTACATTATCCCCAACTACTAAAAAGCATTAATGAGTGAACTAATAAAAATGTCTCGTATCGTCCTATTTAAAACATTCATTGATAATTTCTGATTAAAAGACAAAAACAGGAAGAGAGAGATAGGAAAAAAAAAAAAAATCTTAATCGTCAAAAAAGTAAACAAAATAAAGAATGGCGCTTTTAATAACGATTTCCTTCCAATTCCAACAATCATGCAGCGAGGAAAAGAAAGAAAAAGGCTAGGAAGGAAAGGCAAACGTAAATATTTTTATTAAAATATCGATGATAAAAAGATAAAGAAGAAGAATTAAACCGATAAAAAATGTTCAATCATAATTTTAAGAAGAGTTTTTTTTTTTCTTAATTATTTTCCCTTTTTTTTTTCCTCATCGGTGTCGTCAATGGCGGCACAAAATTTCTTGTTGTCTTTTTCATCTTTGAGGAAAAATAAACAAAAAAATTGTTGCTTCAAATGAAAACATCAACAAAAAAAAACCCCAAAAAACAATCGAAACGACGAGCAAGAAAAATTAACAAAATCCCCATTAATATTTATTATTGTTTATCGGAAATTCGTTTTTTTAAGGTTCAATGGGGATTTATTAAACTTTAATTTACATTATATAACGATTTCTCAAATATATGATTTCACCGCGAGTCAAATTTAAAACTGACAATTGCCCTGTAATGTTTTTTTCTATTTCAACATTATCCATAAACGATTTAGCTCCGATATTAACCTATCTCTCCATTATATATATATTTATTGGGGGCAGCAGATCATTAAACATAATGAATGTCTAAGACGTTCTAAATTTCGTATAGTTGCTTTAGTTTCGAGAGAAAATGAAGACAGAAAGTGACCAACATTTGGATATTTTTTTTTTATTATAATGGAATTTTTTGTCTTTATTTTCAGTCGAAATTAAAGCAACTATACAAAGTTTAGAACGGCTCATGATCAAACGCACATTCATTGTCTATCATATTTAACTTAATAATAGTCTGCTGCCCCAATAGTACACACACATGATTATATATATAAATAAATACGTTGGTATATATTGTAATCCAAGTCGATCCTTGTAATATGAAATTATAAAATAATCCACAAAAAAAGAGGTCGATGTATTTTATTTACACAAAGCAATATAACTAATTAGGTAAAAGAAAAGGACTTGTTTTATATATATATCTTTCCCACCCTGACCGGAAATTCAGAGAAAACATTTGAATTCTTGCTCGTTTTTAAACGGTTCGAACATTTTCCATTGTAAATTCCGTTTGAAGCGTTTTTCGTAGCGATCAATCTTATTTTCGGAAAAGATAAAAATCAAAACCGTTTATTCCATAGAGAATATCAAATAAAAGCCATTAATATTTCTTCTTCTTCTTAAGCAGTAAAAACAACGGATCTAACATGGCGCCTACAAAACACGGGTTTCTCTTGACGAAACGAAACAGTGTTCATTATTTTGACAAGATTTAAAAGTCTGCTGCTCCAAGATTTTAAAAACAATTTTTCTTTCTCCAAATATCATTTTTTAAAGTAATTTTCTAATTAAATTAGACAAAGAAGGAAAATTAACGACTTTAAAACATTTCTTGATGAATAATCTTGACGTTCGTTTCTATTTAAAATTAATTTAATCGTTGCTTACAATAAGCACAAATAAATAGCCATTTTCTTTCGACGATTTGAATTAAATCTTAGACTATTTCCTAAGTATTTCTAAATAAATACAAATTTTTAACGTTTTTATTTACTAATAAAAAAAAAAAGAAAAAAAAAAGGACTCTTTTGATCCTTGAAATAGTAACCAAGATTTTATCTTTGAATAAATATTTATTAAATTATACAATTGTTTTAAATGAAAGTTATATTTTTTATGACATTTAATAGCGAAAAGAAAAAAAAAACAAACGGTTTTTAAAGTAGGAAGTAATTTTTTTTTTTTAAGCTCTATGTTCCGGGGTGATGAAGCAAAAAGCGAGATTTTGTAAGCTAAGCACTAAAGAAAGAAAAGAGATATTAAAAAAGAAACAGGTGAAACCATTGACTTATTTGTGAATGATGAAAAAATAAAAACGGATAGGTAAATATTTAAAAAAAAAAATGATTCATGAAGAGGTTTGATTCCATTTTTGTTAAACGAGATTACCTGGAGAGGCATGACTGTAGCGCAAGAATTGTAAAAGATATAAAATTCTTAAACTATTCTTTTTTTTTTTTTTCTTAAAACTTTTCTTCGTTCGATCCGTTGTAGAATTAAAGCAAATCGTTTTTTCCTTAAAAACAAATAATCGATAGAAAGAATCAAAATATCGACAGCAAACGACGACGACGAGCAAAGAAAAAAAAGTGAACGTTGGATTCAAATTAACCGCGTCGCTTGACGGCCAATGGAATCATCGACAGAAGGTCATGTGCTACGACGAACCAATAAAAATGCATATCGACGATCACGTGGCGCTTCTTCAACCTGCATGATGGGTTGTAACTAAAAAGCAAAGCGAAGGAGGAAAAAGAAGAAACGAAAAGAAGGAGAAAAAGAAGAAAAAAAAATAATTGACAAACAATGAAATGGAGAGAAATTTTTATTTTAAAAATCAAACTTACCTCCCATTTACCGTCAGCTGCCATCGTATAAATTCTCAGCGGGTAGATTAACCCGTCCGCGGTAGATCCAAGATGCTAAAGTGATTTAAAAAGATAAAATTTCTGATGAAAGCAAAATAAGAGTTTCAGCGTGTTATGTGTGTGTGTGTGTTTTAGTAGTAGTGGCAGAATGGAGGTTAAGAAAAAGATCAAAAATATCTTATTATTTGTCAACTGCAAACGTTAGATCTCTATTAATAGCTCGGCTGGTTGCTTAATGAAGTTTTGTTTATATCCGATCACGCAAGAAAAATAAAGACATGACAAAATTATGGAGAAAGAGATTTGTACACATTCGTTTCAAAAAGAAAAAAAAATAACACGTTTTTTTTTTTTTTTTAACCAATTCTACTTACTAAAGAGCACCACGACTTTGATTTCGTTGTCTTCCTTGTCGATTTGTTTTCTCAGTCTGATAGTTTTTTTTAAAATTAAGACAAATAATATTAAATGCTGAAAAACACGTAATTTCTATATTACAACGTAGAAATAAATAGCACAATTTTTTTCATATAATTTAAATAATAAAAAAAAAAACGATTTTTTTTTTGGTCTTTCGATGAGAAAATTTTAAAATAGCGGGAGAAATATTCGTCCTCTATTTTTTTAAATGTTTTTTTTTTTTTATCTTTTTTTAATTTTATCTATTTTTTTTCTATTTGTCTTGAATTTCAACAATTCAGATTTAATTGTTTTTTTTTCTTTTTCTTGTATATATATATATATATATATATATATATATAAAAAACAACGACTGAAGTCGGTCGCCCTCTTTTCTTTTTTTTTTTTTTCCTCTCTTCTTTAACGAAAAACGGGCAGAACGACTTTCTTCTTCTCAGAATGTGGAAACCAAATTTCTACCCAGAATAAGTTGTTCTTAGTTGAAGTAAAATCAAACGGGTTTCTAATATAATAAGAGCCTCCTCCGGCCATCGATACTTCCTTTTTCGGGGAGGGGGGTTCTTTTGTAAGATTAGCAAATGATAATAATCAACCAACCGGTATGGTTAATCGAAGCAAAGCGGGAGAAAAAATATAATAAAACTCGGAAGAATTGAAACAGGGAGAAAAAGAATAATGTGATTTTTCTTTTTTTTTTTTTTTTTGTTTAAGTGTTGTTTTGTGTTTTTCTTTTTTAAGTGTTTGTATTTTGGTGACCCCGTTGTTATTTTCCCCCTTTTTTTCTTTTCCTAAATCGAAAAACTAGGGGAAAAATATCCCAAAAAATCGTAGTCTCTGCTCCTCTTTTCCTATGTGTATATCTCCGATGATAAAAGATGCGATATCACCGGCGACTTCGATCGTACAGCTAATGCGCTGTCGTGACAAATCTGTTGTAAGACCGAATCTGATTGGACGAGAATTTTGAAAATTCTGCATTTGGGCCAATCGGCGTTAGTGTTACGGACGTTGCCTATGTGAGTACTTCCTGTTTGTAATGGCGGTGCAACGGTGACACTTTATCTTGTTACCAGAAAAGCCAAAAAGTGAGCGGACGGTAAATGTTTTCTTGTTGATATTAAGTACCTATGGAATGAAAAGTTGAGAAACAAAACAGAAAATACAATAAAAATGGCTGGGTCCGCTTTAAAACGATTGATGGCTGAATATAAACGTAAGTATGAAAAAAAACATTTATCTTGACTGATGTCCAAAAAAGTGTTACTGTTTATGAGTATGACTGATTAAAAAAATGTAAATATAATGCTTTATCGGATTTCAGACAAAAATAAAATAAATTAATATTAAAAAATAAATACCTAAATTATGGTAGATTATTATTTTTTCATTTCTGAAAATGCGTGACTGATTATTAATTTTATAAATTTACATAACAGGTTGATTTTTTTTTCATTCATTCGTCTCTTGTTTTACTCAGTTTTTAGTATTTTTTGTTTATTTAAAATATGTTTTTAGTTTAAATGCATGTTTAAGAGCGTATCGATCAAAATGTTTTTTAATATCACCTTTTTGTACTACGTGACTCATTTTTTTTTCTTTATTTTTTATGTCAAATAAATAAATGCCAATTCAAGATGAAACACTGACTAAACAATATAAAAATATATTGGCTTTAAATTAAAAAAATCTGTTGTCGTCATCTTTTGCTTTTATGATGATGTTCTGTTTAGAAATTTGTAAAAAAACAAAACAAAAAAAAGAAACATAAATTAGCTTCACCAGCATTACGCATAGATGTTTATTTACCTTTGAAAAACATCCATTTCAAAAGCCTTTTTAATTTGTCAATTGACGTTTCAAATGCTCGGATTTGTTTGGTGGCAATCGTTGATGATATAAGAGAGAGATAAAGATGTGTGATGCTTAAATTGTTAAAAATAGGTATTTTGTTTTAAGGGATTAAGTTAAAAAAAATCCATGTTACTAACCTGGTGCAAAGCGGTCAGTGGTCACAATCTCTTACAGAATTTTTTTATTTCATATATAGAAATTTTATAATAAAATTGAGTTTACTTTTAGAACGACTAAAAAGTTCTTTTAAAATCACTTGCATTGATTCATTGAACTTCAAAACAATTTGCATTGAGTTTCATTGACTTCTCGGCTACAGAGTGCGTCGATCAAACAAGAAGACAAAAATAAAAATCGCAGAATTTCTCTTTTTTTTCCATATCTCATTCTCTAAAGCTTTAAAAGTAAAACATTAATCTTAAAAGTACGTTTCCTATTTGTTCTTTCTTTATCATATCTATCTGTGTCTGTACGTATGTATGTACGTGTCTGTATGTATGTATGTACGTGTCTGTATGTACGTGTCTGTATGTACGTGTCTGTATGTACGTATGTATGTACGTGTCTATGTATGTACGTGTCTGTATGTACGTGTCTATGTATGTACGTGTCTGTATGTACGTGTATGTATGTATGTATGTATGTACGTGTATGTATGTATGTATGTACGTGTATGTATGTATGTATGTACGTGTATGTATGTATGTATGTATGTACGTGTATGTATGTATGTATGTATGTACGTGTATGTATGTATGTATGTACGTACGTGTATGTATGTACGTGTATGTATGTATGTACGTGTCTGTCTGTCTGTGTATCTATGTATGTATCTACCTGTCTGACTCTGTCTACCTATCTACATCTCTCTCTCTACTTGTTTCTCTGTCTTTATCTATCACATATATTTGCATGCCTTTTTTTGTTTGTCACTCTTTACACTCGTTATGCCTTTTATTGCCATAAGAGCAGAGACTCTTCCAAGATGTTTATAAAACCTGCAAGTGTGAAAAAGCTGACTGCATAAAAAAAAAGCAGCATACAACAATAATAGGAAAAAAATTTTAAATCTTACATTTGAAAACCTAATAATAGTAAGTACATAAAATATTCAGTCATTTTTCACAGTACAGGTAAACTGGGGTTAATCTACTGAACACAAATTGGAGGTTTGTTTTTCAAATTGTTATTAAGTAATAAACTGATCCCCTTAAATGCTTTTCAGTACTTGATGATTACATTGTGCATGATACTTGTAGTTTTAGTACTGGTGAGAAAACAAAATGTATATTTATTATTAATATAAATTATAGGTCTGTTATAATACATTGGGAGGAGGCATGATGGAGTAATGGATTACAGCTTGAATTGAGGAATTGGAGAGCCGAGTTCGAATTCCAGTCAGATCCATTACATTCACTTACGTGATAATACCTTGGGAAAGATATGAATACTATTCTCTCCCTAGCCATGGGTAAATACCAGGACAGACCGGGTTCTATAGCCTTGGATAGCAACTGATCTACTGCAGAAAGAAATGGCAACCTACTGCGAGAATAAATCTACCTCATCAGTCATGTATCGAAAGATACATGATCGCTTAAGTGTGTATCACACGACACATAACTGACTAATACATTGAGCACTGTTTTATTAGTATCTGTGATATTTTATACTCACATATATATGCACACACACACACACACACACATACATATATTCCTCTAAAAAAGACTATACCATGATGAAAAAAAGTCTCCAAATGTCATAAAAACAAAGTTTTATTGTTAAAATGTTTGTTATTATTAAGAGGAAAAACCAAAGTATTTTTTGATTATTTTAGTAAATTTTTCAATCCTTTCTAGCATGTTTGAAATTTTGCTCAAAAATCTTGATTTTCTTGCATTAGTGGGTGGGCTAAAGATTGGTATGGGTAATTTAGCATATTTTTTCCAGTTAAAAAAACACATTGTTTTGGGAATTATTGTAAAAAATCAAATAATTGTTGGATTGTAATTAAAATTTCAGGACACATTCACAAATGAATGAAATTATTTGGGAAATTTTTGTCTTTAGAAAATCTTTGTAAAAAAAATTATTTTCTTACATTTGAAAACCTAATAATAGTAAGTACATAACAAAATATTCAGTCATTTTTCACAGTACAGGTAAATCGAGGTTAATCTACTGAACACAAATTGGAGGTTTGTTTTTCAAATTGTTATTAAGTAATAAACTGATCCCCTAAGAATTAATACATATATTATGCTTTTCAGTACTTGATGATTACATTTGCCATTAACCCCACTTACTTAATTTTATGAAATCTTAAGAAATTAAAATTCCACCCTCTTCATATTTAATAAAAAACAGGGCTCCTTAAAGAATTTAAATCATCAATTTGTTTTTGTCTAACAGAAACACCATTTACCAAAAATCTGCTCTGAATTGTAAAATAAAAAATGCAATAAAATTATCTAATTATTTAATTAGAAAAGCTTTTATAAATGAAATACATTAAGGACAATATTGTCTTAAGAAAAATAATTTTTTCAATGAATAATGAATTTTTACAAGAATTTTCAATTTTTTATATATTTTAGAATAATAATGTCATCTCAAAGGGTGAAAATAATACAGAACTTTAAAAGAAAAAGCTTAGTAGAAATCATCAAACACCAATATTTTTTAAAAGAATTTAGAATTTCTTTTTTTTTTATGTGTATAAACATGCTAATTTTTGTAAATATGGCCAGCAGTACACAACACTATCAGAAAATAAGAGTGATAACTATAGTAGATTTGATGCCAGAAAGTATCTAAAATTCAGTAAAACATTAAATTATGGAGAATATTTTCTTAGATTTTTAAGATTACTGAATACTTAAAAATTATATATGAGAAGGTGCTTGTGTTATATTTAATTATTTTTTTAAAGTTAAAGCTTCCATAGAACATCATTAGATAAACATCAAGCTGTCAAACATGTCATCAGTTTAAATAAACAGCTACTGCAGTGTTAAAAAATACACTTCTCTGATATATTAAACTTAAATAATATTTGTTTCAAATCAGATTAATTATACATTAAATCAGCTAGTATTCTTGAAACTAGTTTCAGAAAAGTATATTTTATTTTTGGAAGATTTCTTTTTAATAAAGAGAATTACATTGCAATGAAAGACTACTAAAAAATGGGGTTAATCAGCTATTTTAGCAAAAGAAACAAAAAAAAACTCCTCCCAGTCAATTTAAATTAGTTTTGAAATACAGCAAAGTATTTTGTTTACTGGAAATATTAGATTTAATCTATTAGCTTGAGATTAAAAGTAAAAGCTTCAAGAAAGATCTTTCATTTTTAAAAATTCATTTTAAACCTTAGGTATTTTGTTTTTTGTGGTGATACCTAATAAATATATATAAGAAATGTTGTCTATGTAAAATTTCAGATAGAATTCATCTGTAAAAGAATGATATGAATAAAGACAAAAGGAAAACTTAGCCAACATGTTTCATCTTCTGATGGACTTTAGCAAGGCAAAGATTTTCTTTTATAACAAATATTTATAGACAACAGTAAAAATGTTAGATTTAAAAAATTTAAGGAACACTCAAATATTCACCAGGTTAACTGAAAAATCTAAGTAAGTTATGGAGGATGCTAATTGATATTCTTTAATGTCTAAAAGATGTTCTTGAAATTTTTTATGTAATTTAATATTTAAATTAATTTAGTTTGGGATTAATTTATGTGTTATATATTTAAAATAACATGAGGTTAGGAATTTAGCTTTTTTCTTTTAATTTTGTAACATTTTTATAGTCATGTATGTTGCCTTGGGAAAGGAGTAATTCTTTCAGGAATGGAGATATTTGGAAAACCTCCAGGACTCAGATTTATATTTTAAGATTTAATAGCAGCACTTTCAAGAATTTTCCATATAAGTAAGTTTCTTTCTCTTTTAATAAGTATTGTATTCTTTAGGTCAAAGTGGCATTTTAATTTATTTCTATGTATTACTAATGCATTTGATAAATTGTTTTGTATAAGATGCTTTTGTGTTATAGATATGTTTTTTGGGTTTTTTTTTTCCTACAAGTTTCACCAATGTATTTTGAGGAGCAGTTCTGGCAATCTATTTTATGAACCTGTTTCATAATTATGTTGTGTTTTTTTTTGTTTTGTTTTTTTTTTTTTTGTTCTGATTATATCTATCTTATATGTATAAATACAAATATATCTTTGATATCACTATACACACATATATAAAAGTGGCAACTTTAGGTCATCAATGTTTGTTGGCTCATTGCAATCTTTAACAAAATATACTATTGGTATAATTTTGATAGTAAAATGATTCCTTTAACTGAAATATATAATTTTTATGTGTTGCTTTGAACTAGATATACTTGAATGTTGGCTCGCTTGTGCTGAGACCTCACTCCCAGAGGCAACGCTGATTTTCATATATATATGTCAGCAGTTAATATACTACATAACGCCCTTGAGCACTTAGCTTTGGAGCGGGTAGAATGGAGATCAACATGTTTTAGTGGACTCAGCAATTTTCAGTCTGCTTGTCTGAATCATCTTCAAGAAGCGAGAGTGAGATCTAAAAGGTCAGCCAATCTAACAGTGATCTCATCTCACAATTCTCACACCTGCTCCATATGTGGCCTCCTTTGTAAATCACTAGTGGGTCTTTCATAACTGAATCAATAAGCTGACAGATCCTCATATGTCGAAAGCGACAGGAGAGTCCATTATTATTTATTATTATATATAAGTAAAAGTTTGTCACTTACTTAACTGATTGATGTTACCTTTAACATCCTGACTCCAGAGTTTTGTAAATGGACCTGTCCGTCCACTCTTCAGGAGGTATCAGCAATTTCCCGCTTATATTTTTCACTTTTTTTTGTACATTTAACATTGGTTTAAATTTTTTTCTGTGCCCATGTGTGTTTGTGCATGTGTGGCTGTCTGCTCATATGTGCATACATGTAGGGTGTCATAATCATTTGTCCTTTTCACTTTTTTCTTTTTTTTTTTTTACTTTATACTTGTTCTTTAGCTTTTCCTCTTTTTTCTTTTCTTTCAATAGTTGCCATTTTTTTGGTGAATTGCCACTGATTTTAATAAACATGTTTCATTGAATAATATAGACATGTTTATTTATTTTTATAATAATCCTTTCGAGAACTAGAATGGATTATTATAAACAATAGACAGGCATAATAAAAACTTTCTTGAATTTAGTATAAATCCACTGAATTAAAAAACATTTAACAAACCCTCATTAATAATAACTTTCCTAATTACATCATTGATGAACAAATTAGACAAGCCATTAGAAAATAACACAAATTAAAAAAAACATAATACTTCCTCGAATAACCCTAAACATTTCAACCTACTATGCCACAATCAAATGCATTCTACCTATAAAAAAGATTAAAAAAATCCTAAAAAATCTCATAAGTACTAATATATTCCCCACTGATCCCAGTAAAAAATAAAATAAAATAAAATAAAACTAATTATGTATTATACTAAATTGAACACAACCAACTTGCAATAAGTTTGTCTTTGTAATTCCCCCTGAGGATAGTCTTGGAGGAGATTGAAAGTACTTGGGTAGAAAAAAAACTACTGCATCTTGATGAATTTTATCATAACATCAACTCATTAGAGAACTGGAAAGGATTATTTTAAAAATAAACATGATATAATTTAATCTCACCTCAAGCAAGGTGATAAAGCCACTAAGACACAAAGGGTTACTGAGTGTGAAAGAAACTAAGAAAATGTTATTGAAGAGAAAGGACAATAAAAGGACAGGTTTCTAAAAGATAGATGATGATTGATAGTTTACAGAAAAGCAAGAATTCCAAAGAGTGTTCTATATATGAGGGAAGAAACAGTTAACATAAATTATATGGTTACATCTATTTCAACAGTAAAATGATGAGACCTAACTGCCAATCTAGTACTGTACTTCAATTCATGAAGTCAAGTTACCAAAGAGGAAATCTCATCAGAACAAAATGCCATAAAAAATATTTATAGAAAAGACACAGGGAAGCTACATTATGATGATGGGAAAGTGACTGAAACAGAGATGCCAGGTTAGAATCAATAACATTGCAGATTTGTTTTTTGATTTAGTCAAGAATCTGTAGATACATAAAATACATTATTTCTATATTATTTAATATTTGAAATACCCATGAAAATTTCATGGTTTTCCTATTTGGATTTTCTGATGAATTTTAATTATTTAAACTAATGAATAAGCTCATATTATGGATGAAGGCATATTATACATATAAAATATCCATAGAAATTCCTCTATCGTATCGCTAAATATTTGAGCTTAACACCTTTTTTAAAAAAATTTACTATAATTCCCCATGTATAATATGCCTTCATTCATAATATGCACCCCTAAAATTGTGCTGAAAGTGTGGGAAATGCTTGTACTCATTCATAATATGCACCCCTTGTTTGGTAATCAAATCCTATAAATTGTACCTCACCAATTTCATTACAAACTGTGTTTCCTACTCTTATTAAAAAAAATGGTTTAAACATAGAATAATATTATTCTAATTTAGTTCTATGATAATTCTTATTTTATTTTACATTTGTAAGTATTGTTAGGTACATATGATTGTATTTGACATTCTTATGGGGTCACAACTGCCAAATGTTAGTGTCAAATTGTCATGTGTTTTGGGTGAGTAGTCATTTTGCAACTGAAATTGACCTATGAAACAGCAATTTTTGTAAAGATTTTTTTTTTTTTTTTTTTTTTTTTGGCTATGCATAATACACACCCCTAATTTGCTTATTATTTTTTAGAAAAAGAATGCATATTATACATGGGTAATTATGGTACACTATTTACATTGTTTGGTCTGTTGTTCTCATTTTTGTTGCTGTATGCTCTGGCCTTCTTCAGGTGATTGAAATTTTTGTAGCTTAGTGTATGCATTGATTCTTTAAGTTTTCATATTTTCCGGTGATAAAATATTGCAATAAAATTTGTGAATATGAATGTTGGTCATTATTTAAAGAAGCAAGGTGGTACAAATGAAAAGAATTGAAATTGTCAACTTTTCCATTTCACTGAAACAGACATTAAACACATGAATGTTGTCATCTCTTCTATCTACCCTTTTTTCTTTTTCTTTTCTTTTTCTCACTGAAACCAAGTAGTGTCCCTGATATGTCAGCCGGAAGTAGGAACATCAGACGTTTTAAAAAACACGTGCACCGTGCCTGGCCATCAGTTATAAGCCAGACTGAGTGAGTGGGTTCCGCAAGGGGTAACGAGTGGCAGCCTGCATATCGCTGCTTTCTCGCCACCATACCGCATCCTTATTCAATCGAGTGCTTACCAGTGATGAAAAGTGGGTTCTGTACGAAACTCCCAAGCGTTCCAGACATTGGTTGTCTCCTCAGGATGCTGTCCCTCACACCGCAAGACCACCTATTTACCCACGCAAGATTGTGCTTTGTGTCTGGTGGACAGGTCATCATGTGGTTCATTATGAACTGCTACCAACGGGCCAAACGGTCACTATACTTGCAGCGATTGAAACATGTGCAGCAGGCATTGTGCCAGAAGGAGCCAGCACTGGTGAATTGCAAGGGTGTGCTTTTCCTCCATGACAACACCAGGCTGCATGTTGCACGAGTGGTCAGGGATACCATACGGCAACTTGGGTGGGAGACTTTGTGCCATCCAACTTATTCACCTGACCTTGCACCATCCGATTACCACCTCTTCCACTCCCTGGATAATCATCTTCGTGGGAAATCCCTCACCAAAGAAGCAGACTTGCGCAAAGCCCTCACAAATTTCTTTGCGAAGCCCGATTGTGGGCCTCAAGCAGGGCTTTGTGACCCTCGGTATCTTATCAACATTTGCTTTTTTTTCTACCTACATTTATATGCATTACAATTTAAACTAAGTACAAATGACTATTAAAGGATGAAAAATTTTTGCAGATTTTGACATCATTTGTTTTATTTGTTTTTGTTTTTTTTTTTTTTTGTTTTTTTTCAGCAAAATCCATGAATTTTTTTTCTCATGCTAAGTCTTGAAAAAACACTACATAAAATTCACTATTTTTTTTATCCATAATGTTGAATATGTTAAAATTATTCAACCTTTTGACAAGAAAAATCTCAAGTTGATGTTAAAAATTGACACAAAACATTGATTTATTTAAGATGGCATGATCTATTATGACATGTCTCTAATTCGTATTTACATACAGTGTAATTATTTTCTATTTTTCTAGTTGAATTGTTCACCTATATTGAATAGGATCCATTATTGTACCCGATTAGGTTACAGTAAAATTTGTACTTTATATGAATACTACCTTAGGTGAAGTAATGAATAGCGGCTTGGATTGAGGAATTGGAGAGCCGAGTTCAAATTCCAGTCGAATACATTACAGTCACATGTGCTAATACCCTTGGGAAAGGTATGAATTCTCTTCTCTCCCCCATAAGCTATGGGTAAATACCAGGACAGACCGGGTTCTATAGCCTTGGATGACAACTGGTCTACCACTGAAAGAAATGGCAACCTACCGCGGGGAAAAAATCTGCCTCGTCAGTCATGTATCTTTCGATATATGATCGCCTCAGCATGTATCACACATGGCGCATAACTAACTTACCTTATGAAAATTGAGATGTAGTAGAGTGGGGGTGGTATCATAGATTGGGGGTGAGGATGCTCGAGATCCTTGCAACTGGCCATGTTTAAATACATTTTTCCAATATTACATGTGTAATCCTCTAGAGCCATAGGAGTACCCCCTGTACTGTTGCCAGTGATGATTCCTGGCTAAGATAAAACATTGAAGCCCAATCCTCTTTGGGCTGGTTTTGAATTCAAAGTTGCTTCCTTCTTCTAGAGCAGTTACCGTGCAAGGCTGTAGGACCCAATCTGCCCTGCTATTTTACCCATAGTTAGAGGGAGAAGAGATGGATTCATCACTTTTCCAAGGTGAAACAATTTAAAAAAAAAAATTTTTTTAAATCCAGTCCCACTGAAATGACCATATTATGTTGAAACACTGGTACCCATATGATCACCAAAGTTAAGCAACATTAAGCCTGGTCAACACCTAGACGGGTGACCATTTGGGAATACCAGGTGCTGTAAGCTTGGATGTACTGGTGATGTAATGGATAATGGCTTGGAATTGTTATCAGAGAGCTGAGTTCAAATTCCCGTTGGGTTTGTTATATTCACTTATGCACAAATAGCCTTCGGAAAAGTATGAATCCACATCTTCTCCTCCCAGCTATGGGTTAATTAGTAAAACTTATCACTACTAAACCATTATTTAAAAAAAAAATAATTCTTACACTAAAAATATTTTCTGGCTTTAAATAACGTGCAAAGGGTTGATAAGCCATAAAGAAAACAAACCAATCAATATTAAATGGAGAAATTTTGCAACCAGTAGGGAAAAAAAATCCTCTCAGATTAATTGAGATTTGATACAAGAAAGCCTAGAGGAAAAGTAAATCATCCGACTTACTGATAGTTACATTCATGCAGATAAATTAAAAGATACAGCAAAGCCTGGGGGGAAAGAAGAAGATGTCGCCCTTAAATAGAGTCCCACTTGAATAATTAATGGAGGTTTGATACAGCAATGACAAAAAAATAATCCAGAGTTTACTGTGCAAATAATTGGAAAAATTGTATAAAAAATTGTCTTCTTGCTGCCCTGTCAACTTTGAACTTCAAAAATTAAATGCAATGTCAATTGTTATCTTCTGTCTTCTTAATTCTTGTTCTTTTATTGTTGTCTCCTTAATAGTTTTCTCATTCTCTAACACTCAGTAGCCTCTTTGCATCCTAGTGACTGTATTACCTTACTTGGGGTGAAATGATTAAAAAGAACAAACAAAAAAAAAAAACAAACTAGGTAGTGTTTTGATAGATGACAGAAAATGTGATGCCAAAATTCAAATGCATGTTGGAATAGCAAACATTTCCTTCCTAAAACTAAGGAAATTTTCACTAGAAACAATGGAAAGAGTGCTGAACTCTTATGTAACATCAGTCCTGCTATATAGCATTGAATGTCTATATTATGTACAATATTTACATTGTTCAGACTATCATCCTCATCTTTGTTGCCATATTTATCACAACGTTTCGGCCTTCTTCAATGGTTGGAATGTCGAGCTGAACCCTTTATTTCGTTCACTGAGGTAGACTGTTCTAGTTTCACGCGCCATGTCAGTTATCAGTTATCTCCTTAATTCCCCTCTCCAAGTTCACCACCAACTTAGCCAGGTATTGAACTCACAATCTTTGGGTCCTGACACTGAATCTAACTAACGCCTTTATCCTTGAGGACATCTGTGTATGAATTTCTGGGTATTATAAACCTAATATCTTCATCAACTTTCAACAGTTTTCATATTGCAATTTTCATTGTTATTGTTTTTCTCTGGTACTCCTTATTACTGGTTTCTCACAGATGAAGAAGTGACTTGAACCAATAAAAACAAAGAAAAGAGTACTGAACTGTTATATAATATCAGTCCTCCTTTATGGCAGTGAATGCTAGACAATTTCAATCCAAGAGATGGTTTCATACCTTTCCAAAAGGTATTTGTGTTCAAAGGAAATGTAACTAACAAGACTGAAATTCAAACTCAGTTCTTCAATTTCTCATCCCGAGTCGCTCTCCATTACGCCACCCCCACATCCTAAAAGAGAAAGAAAAAAAATGTCCCTTTGCAAATTCTAGGCTTGTCAATAAAGTGTGTTCAGTGTGGCTCTTCCTGGAGTTACCTTACTGAGCCTTTTTGTTATTGTTGGCATGTTACTTTCTCACTTAATAATCCCATAATAATTGTGCTTATCATTCTCTTCATTAGTTTGCACGAGTATTGTGACTTGCCAATACATAATAAACTATTTTGTTTTGATTACATGGAAAGATGGGAAAAGACACTACTTGGTTTCAGTAAGAAAATGAATGAATGAATGAAAGAAAAAAAAGGAAGCTAGAAGTATTTGTTTGTTTCAGTGAAATGGAAAAAGTTGTCAATTTCAAATCTTTTCATTTGTACCCACTTCTTAAAATAACGACTATCATTCATATTTTTGATTGTTATTGCAATATTTTGCTAGTCGTTAAGCTCAAATATTTAATGATACCATAGGGAAATTTACATGGATTGTATTTTTGTAGAACTTGCCACAAGCATATTCAATCATTAACTGAAGAATTAAGATTAATCAAAATATTAAAGTAGAAAAACTGAAATTTTCATGGGTTAATACTAGTAATAATAATCTTCTTCAGAAGGTAGCAATTGTGCTTATTTACATTTGATATACACTACCTGGCATACAATATACACTGCAAGGGGTACCATATATGCTACTTGGGGTTACCAAACATGATTTTATGTCATATTGCTGAAGCAACAGAAAAAATTAAGCAAAATATTTAATATCCACACGTATGATGTCCATGATAGTTCTTTTAGTAGCTGATACAAAATGTGGGATGTCATTCCTACATCTAGGTGTTTTTGTCAAGACACCATCCCTAGAAAGACTGTCACCCAAGGCTAAACACTTCTTTCAAGCCATGAAGTAAATTATCACACACCAGTCACCAAATAGCAATTTGAATTTCCACAGACAATGATCTTGCATTAATTTCCCAATGTATCAAAGATGTAGAATCTTTGCTGCAATCACTCAAGCAGGCAGCGAACCAGGTAGGTCTCTATTGCAACGTGAATAAAACAATATATCACAACCTCCCCTGAAGCATCTGAGTTGAAGTCAAGAGTGAAAATCATTTAAAATAGCAAGGAGTGTGTTGGAATATGAAGGAGACATGCTGTCACTTGATCTCAAAAGAGAGAATGAGTGAAAATCATTTAAAATAGCAAGGAGTGTGTTGGAATATGAAGGAGACATGCTGTCACTTGATACAATAGAAAATAATTGTGAGTTACGAATATTTTCTTAAAAAAAATAAAAACATATCTTCCATGTTATTTTCCAGTATTGAGTAAATTAATATATGGCATTTATTCATTTGAAAGTTGTCATGGTCTCAAGTAATTATATTGATAGACAAAAATGGACATTACCAAATGCTGGGCAATTTAATAACACATAGCCCACACTCTGATTTGAAACCAAGTGAAAGAATCTTCGTATTGTAAGACACAAGGATTGTATATGATGTCGAAATAAAGAAAGATATTTGATTTGAATATAAGAGAAACATTTCATAATCCAGGCTTAGATATATTATAATGAAAAACCCCATACATACACACACACATACATATATATATATATATATATATATATATATATATATATATATATATATATATATATATATATATATATAGCACACACAGGCAGAAAAAAGTAGGTATACACTAATGAAAAAGAAAATGGGGGCACAAAATGTGTTGTATTGATTATACAAACATCAATAATTGTAGAATACTTACTTACTTTGCAGCCCCTTATGTGTGTATGTATAATAGGGGGTGTAACAGCATGGGATAATTGTTCATCCCACAAAGTGTTTAATATCTAAAAAAACCACTAAACTAATTGAGTTTCTTTTTTCCAGGTTTTCAGTTAAGATGTTTAGCCATCTTCACACCATTTGTCATCAGAATCAATGAAAAACCCTTTTGAGTTATTCAGCTAGAAAGAACAGGTTAAAATTATTTTGTGTCAGCCCTACTATGTCTTCCCAGTTGAACAATGGTGAGAGGAAAAGGATCGGTAATAGTGCCAACATTCATACGCTGGCTTCCATCTTCAAAGTCCATTCAAAACCATCAGGAGGACGGTGAATAAGTTTAAAAAAAGAAGGAACAGTAAAGAGGAAAACTGGATCAGGAGGTCACAACAGGAATGGGGATCATTATTTCAGCTTAGAGCTAAAGAGATCAATTAGAAAAAATCCAACTCTATACATAAGATGTTTGGCACGGGTGAAAGAAGTTTCACTTATGACAGTTCAAAGAGCAGTGAAAAAAGACATGGAAATGAAATTGTATGTGAAACGTGTGTGACACCATGTTACTCCAGGACAGAAAGTTAGAGAGGGTGAAGATCATCTTGAATAAGTTGGGAAATGATCTTGGAATATATATTTGAACTTTGTTGCAATCCTTCATGAGATTCCGATCTTAGCTATGATTAATTAATGATGAACAAGTCATTTTCATTTCTGATCGATTTCATCATGATTCTTCTGAAGCGAGGAGAGTAATTATATATTCTTATTGCTTAAAGTAGAATACAATAGTTTTAAAAACTTTGGAGAATTCCAGTAAGATATCTTTAATCATTTCTAAGATATAATCATTCAAAGCTTAATCTCACAAATAGATGATTTTGCTGTTACGCCCAGAATATATATATATATATATGTGTGTGTGTGTGTATATATATATATATATATATATATATATATATATAAAAAAGACTTAAACACTAATATTCCATGGTCATAATTTATTCCATTGGAATTGTAAATACGATCCAATTCATCAGACCTACAAATTCAAAAAGAAAACAGAAAAAACAACTCCGTAAATAAAAATAGAATTTAGAGAGAGTGTAAGTATGAGAGTGTGGGACGAATGTTAGATCTAAAGAGATGGGTAACAGACGAGATAAGGTGGGAGATTAAAACTTAACAGAGAGGAGTTTAGGGAGGTGAGTTAAAGATGGTTTATTATATCCTTACTCTGTCCTGGACATGGAGTTCTACCTGGATTCTATCCTCTTGGAATTTTTTATTTAGAAAATATATATGTATGTGTATGCATTTATATATATATATATATATATATATATATATTGAGAATTATTAATATTATTTTTTGAAATTTTGTACTTCCAAAAAATTAGGCGGGTTGGGTAGGAAAAATATCTAAAATTGGGTTAATGTGCAAATTCCTCAAGAAGTGATGCAGTTATTCCAGACACAAAAAAAAGACCTCAAAGTTACATAGATATATACTTTCTATAACAGGATTTATTATAAATTGAGTCTCGCAATAAAATCTCACTTGTTTTGTAAGCAACACTAAATCAATATGTAATCAATATTTTAATTGATTTGCAACCAAACATCCCCAT